CACACACACACACACAGGAACATTCACGCACACACACACACACGCGCGCGCGCGCACACACACACACATATATATATATATATATATATACAGGAACATTCACACATACAGGAACATTCACACTTACAGAACATCACGGATGCAGACACACACACACACAGAGAACATCACGGATGCAGACACACACGCACACACATACACAGCAACACGCATACACACAACACATATTGAGTGAGTGAGGGAGTGAGTGAGTGAGAATGTGTGCGTGTGCGTGTGTGTGCGTAAATGTGTACTTGCATGAACATGGACCGATCCTATGGCCATGAATATATATGCCGGTACCACATACATACCTATCCGCATACGTGACAGCGTGAAGTCGATGATATTGACCATCAGCCCGTGCGTGGCGATGGTGTGCGTCTGCCCGCCAATAGTGTAGCTGATGTTCGGTACATCTGTGGTGGCCACCATCACATTACCCCAGTGCAGGTCTCGGTGTTCGAATTGGAGGACGTCCTCAGTCACAGCCATAGAGAAGGCCATCTGCGCTATGACACTCTGCGCCTGGAAGACACTGTTCAGCTGCGGTACGTATATTGATATATATATACGTAGGTGGATCATGGGGCGTGAGTATATGGCAGAAGAGAAAACGTACCAAGTGATTTATATACGTATATTGATTTATATGCGTATAGGGTGGGTGGATCATGGGGTGGGAGTAAATGGCGGAACGAAAAACGTACCAAGACCTATCCCCAGACAGGCAATAACACACTGGGTTTGGAAGACACTGTTCAGCCACGGTACGTATACTGACACTTGTACGGAGATCCCTATCAGGTCAAAGCACTTATAGGCTCAGTAAACTCTTGGTCATGCACCAATACTTCACTTAAACTCTTGAACGGACATCAATACTTCACTCGCGCCAATACACTGGCCGCTAATGGGGCGCACATGCCGTACAAATAGAGACAGACCGTCTCTTTGTATCTATCATAGCGTCCACACAGGAACACGGTAAAGGTACACATGTATTTACAGACATATATTTACAGACATATATTAACGGGCATATAATCACATATAAAGACATACATTTACAGACTTATTTACAGACATATTTACACACATATTTACACACATATTCACACACATATATTTACACACATATATGTACAGACATATATTTACACACATATTTACACACATATAATAACACATATATATTTACACACATATATTTACACATGTATTTACACACATATATTAACACGCATATAATTACACACATATATTTACACATATATATATACTGACATATATTTACAGACATGTATTTACACACATATTTACACACATATATTTACACACATATTTACACACATATATTTACACACATATATTTGCAGACATATATTTACAGACATATATTTACACACATATTTACACATATATTTACACACATGTAATAACACACCTATATAAACCGACATATATTGACAGACATATATTTCCACACATATACTTACACATAAATAATAACACACAAATATTTACAGACATATATTAGCACATATATTTACACACATATATTGACAGACATGTTTACAGACATATATTTACAGACATATATTTATACACATGATAACACACAAATATTTACACACATATTAACACACATATATTTACACACATATATTTACACACGTATGCTTACACACATATATTTACACACATATACTTAAACACATATCTGTTCATGAACATACCGCGATGTTCTCCAGGTCAGTCCCGCCATTGGCAAAGATGAACACCACAAACAACTGCTCCGCTCCAAAATCGACCGGTCTTTCGTTTTCAGAGGTGGTATTGGCATTGTAATCGTCCCATTTTTGGACCAGAAAATCGGGAAAGGGGCCACGCGCCACGCTTATGCCTTTGACTTCGATTAGATTGGGAGCGATGTGGCGATGCGAATTCAGGGTAGCGGTCATGATGACTTCCTGCAGAACGTCTTTGTAACAAGTACAGTCGAATTGGTAGTAAGGCTTACCATAGGCTTTATCTTTGCAACGAGTACAGTCGATTATGTGGTAAGGCTTACCATCAGCTTCATCTTGTGCACTTAAGGGAGCCGTATGATTGCATATATACGCATGCGGCTGATACTTTGCCAGTAGCCAGTAAGCGGGTGCAGTGAGTGTGATCGAATGAACTCATCCGACATATGGTCATTAACAGTGGCGAGTGGAGATGAGATTCGTAACGAAAACCAAAGACACGCCAAGGCACACGTGGAACAAGGTGTGCACAAGACACTGTGATTGGCCTGATAGCGACT